GGCAAACACTAAAGGTTTGATGACTGACTGTCACTACCTTGCTATGTAAACCTGAAAAGCTACTTATTCCTGGCTCTGTGAATAGTAACATTTCCACAGAATGTGGACAGCTGCCTTTCTCCAAACATTCTGAGAGCCTCACTGAACTTTTCCTAAGAAAGAATGTCTCTGATTCAGCCCACCTTAGACTCCTAACTCTGAATCATGAACATGATTCTGTTCCAGTCTTCCAGCCTTATGTAGAGCTAAGAAGACCGACCTCATGTTGGCGGCGGGCAGCACATTTTTAAAACTGCACAGATAATTCGTGCATAAATTCAACCACTCCTCAGACAGTGCCTACTCTCTGCCAAACAGCCCGGTGAGCACTGGCCAAGTGCAGGTGCACCACCGTCCCTGCACAACTGACAGTGCAGTGGAGGAAAGGGATGGGACAATGGGCGCAGTACGGCCAGGGAGCAGGGAAGGCTGCGGGAGAATGTCCTCCAGTAGATGATGTTTAAGCACACGCCATTTATTTAATAACTGAGTTCCTATTTCATTAAACTGATTTCAACTAACCCTACCAACGATGATCCCAATAATTCTGATTCAAGTTGAAATGTGTCCTGTTAATATTATATTGGTATTTATGACAGCCGCCTCAATATTTCTCTTTGTGACTTGGTATCAGATCCCAAAGATCTATCTGAATAACATAAAAGAACTCATAGTTAGGGCAGAACTGGAGTGGTTTCTCTTTTCTTCCTAAATTTGATTTATAACTGCTCTAATGTTAATAAAAGTAAGATGTATTAAACTGTTTTCAATATTAATCACGATGCCTAGATCTCTCATATTTTCGTGAAAGAAATACACAATGAATATAATGAGCAACGTTTTTCGGACGAGTCGTCAGTAAGCACTATTTCACACATACGGAAATCACAGTGTTAAACTGTTCTCAGAACGTAACTTGACCTACTCGACACAGCCTACGAGCAGCTGGATGTTATCCAGCTACGGTATCTTCTATAGGCAGGTGATTTTGGAAAAGCATACAAATACTAACTGAATTATAAGCAGAATGGTACCCCTTTCTCATTTTAAAGCTCTAAAATGAAATTAAATCTTTCAAAATGAAAAGTTCCTGAAAAATCTTCCCACTAAGTACAATGACCCACTTGACAGAAAAGTTAAAAGGCCAAATTTATCCACTGAAACATGAAGTTTTTGGAGCTGAAAGGCTGGAGATATTAGGAAACTCAAGTGCAGTTAAGTGGGAAATATATGTAGGAGTAAATTATTATCCGTAAAACCTGACAAAAATATCTTCCTAGCCTACCAGATGCTGAAATCCGGCTTAGAAGCCAAGCAAGAGACGTGTGGGGTCTTTGCTGTGAGCACAAAAACCAGGCCTTTGGAGCAACAATTTCTATTACTCCTTCTAAAATAGATATGCCATTAGCTAAGGAAAGCGGAAAGCATCCTATCTTTTTAGTTTTCAAACTGATAAACTTCTTCAAAGAAGTGGGTCAAGCGTTTTCAAGGCTATTCAGCAGATAAATATGCAATCGCTATTTATTTCAGGGGAAAATAATTCCTATTTGAACGAAAGCGGGATATTCAGACCCCACAACAAAAGCAAACAAATTCAGACACTTAACAGGTTCACCGTGTGATCTTGCTGGGAATTTGTCTTGATAAACTCCTTTTCTTTCTGTGTTACCATCACAGCCTTTCCCTATCCGAGCTATTATTAAATGAATGATTAGAGACCTAGATAAACGTTTAAAAAAGTCAGATTTGCTTACCAAGAAACCAACGTATAATTGCAAAAACAAAGCGAATCCCTCCCTCTCCGTTCCTGTCTCTCTCACACACAGACAACCGCATCTTGAAGCAACTTTGCAAATACGATCCCAGTGACGGTAAGGCAGCCTGATACCATAGCTGTTCTGTCTCAGAACTACTCTGAAGGCAGCTTATTCTACATTACAAAAAACCGTTACAAGATTTTATCCACGACATCAGGTTAAACTCAAGCTACCACAGAGAGTCACGTCAAACGCGATTATATTTCAAAGTCTACCATGAAAATAGACCCAGTTCTTCAGCTCTTCTCTGCTTCGTTTTTAGAAATTATTAAATAGCAAAACACGAGTCTTTCACTCGATACAAATTATGCCATTTAGAAAAATGTTTACGCCTCCCTAAAATAGGATGTCAAAACTAACGGTCAACAAAAGCTTATAGCCCGACAGAAACGAAATTAAGATGGAACTGAGTTGATCTACGGCTTCGATCAAGAAAGCCACAATCGCTGAGACGAGGAAACGTCCGGTGCTGTGGTGGTGGTCACCGACCTCAGCCCAGCATCCACACGTCTGTTCCCAGGGCGGTTTCACACACAGTCACCTCGTGGTCCCACAGCAGCCAGCTCTCCAGGACACGTTCCTCGGGTGAGCGTTCCTGCTGTTCCGGATTTAAATAAACAACGGCTGGTTGCTCAAAGCCACCCTAATCAGTTGATGGCAAAGACGATCTGAAAATTTCCCAGAGAAAATAGAAGAAGTGCCACAGGAGGAATAAAGTTTGGCCAAGACACTGCCTTACATCCGCCAAAACAGCCAGGCTCTGACGCTCACCTGCTGTGGGACTCTGGGCAAGCCACTTACCCTCCCCAGGGGTCTGCTTCCTCACCGTAAAGTGGGGGTGACATTAACAGGATTACAGGCAGTCTAGGGTCACACTTGACACACAGTCAGCCCACAATTAATGTTAACTGTCGTGACTGTGATTTTTAGACCCTACGCACGCAAGCATACACACACAAAATAAAATTAATGACTGTGCAAGCTGCTATCTTTATTTATCATAATATGCTTGGTTTTTGTTTGTTTGTTTTTACCTATGGCACTGGGATATGCCAAATGCAGGTGACTGTCCACTTGGCAAATCTTTATTTTAGTCACTGGGTCTCCAGATCCCGAAGGTATATCATGATATTCTTTGTTCCTGAATTTCATTAAAATCAATCAACTCCTTCCAAAATAATCAGAAAACAGACAGTCACAGTCTAAAGTGGCTGAAGAGGACACGATCACCTTATTTTTCTTCACAATCAAAGAAAACAGTCACCATAACCATTAACGGTAAGGATGCGTATTTATTAGTATGTTTCAGTTTGCAAAATGCTTCCAAAGCAATGGTGAGGGAACCCTTCCTCCTTCCTAATTTTTTTTAATGGAAGTGCTGGGGATTGAACCCAGGACCCTGTATGTGCTTATCACGGGCTCTACCACTGAGTTACTCCCTCTTGCTTTTGCTTACTTTCCAAAGAATTCCCCACAAGTAGAGCCACATTTTCCACCAGACTCAGACCTGGGGACCCAAAGAGCAGGACCAAAATGATCGCTTTTGCCCATTTCCTTACAAGTAGTGAAGCAGCGGAGAGATACGAAAATCTTTTTTTATCCTACACAAATGCACAGAAAAGCCAGAGAAACGATAGCGTTTCACAAAGGCGCTGAGCGCGCTTAACTTTCATTAGTACAAAGACTGCTTGGTTGCTGTCATTTAAGCCCTCAAGCTTTAGGGCTGCACAGAAAATTCCAGAGACTCACTCCTCAAATCCTTCCCCGTCTTTGAAGCAGCAATTGCCACAGAACTTGACTTTTCTCATAGAGAATTCTCTGATATGAAATCTTTCTTTTGCAAACCAGAAGTGTGAAAGTTTGATAGAGAAATGCAGGAAGTCAGGCCAACGGTGAGGCAGTGTCCCTCTCCGTCAGGAATCAAGACCTACATTCAGAATCCCGGCTTTTGCAGTCCCGAAGGACCTGAGCATCAAAGGCACTTGACAAACAGCAAACAACTGTAATAGGAACCAAGGAGGAGAAGCAGCAGCAGCTACTTTGAAGTTCTTTTGCAAAATTCAGTCACCTAAAAATAAAGCTAATCAGGAGGAACAAAGGAAAACGCTTTGTCAAATACATCAGCACAAAATCTGGAAGTCTGTTTGATTTCTAGTCACTTCTCCTGGGAAACAGTATGGTTTTGCCAATTCTGTTTCTTCCTGATCCTGTTTCATCCTTCAGGTGCTAGTGGGGGGGCTTTTAATGTCACACCAGCCTTTACTGGAGAGTAAAATGTACCTTGTGGCTAGAACAGGACCCCCGGCAACCCCAGGGGTACAGCAAAGGCTTGGCAGGACCGCCCCCCGCCCCGTGCTGGGATGACCCTCTCTCTGCCCCTTAGAGATGTTGAGTTCTGCAATTTGCACCTGCTACCCTAAGTGAGTCCACACTGCTGAGCCTGGCCCTGGCCCGCCATCTCCTCCCTCTGCCCCATCACCAGGCATCACTGGGGGCCACCGGGTGTAGACGTCTCTTGGCATCAAGGTGCTCCCAGTCCCATCAGAAACATTTTACTCCCAGCCCTCTGGGATGTGAGCCCATGATTTTGGTTTTTGAAAACCTGGATAACAGCAGGGAACTCTGCCCTGCCTTTGAAAATAGGAACTTTGGGAAGAAATTAAATTAATAAGGCTAAGACGACGATTAAAAAAAGGAAAAAAGGGAAAGAGCAGGAAAGGACTAGAATTCACCATTAAAGAAAATGCTGGGAGGCAAACACAAAGAGGACAAGATTTTTATGGGATGAACAAGCCCCCTCCGCAGTCAAGTTCAAAGCACGGCCGTGGTCACTCAGGAGGTCAGCCGCAAGCAACACCAGAAACAGACGCCGGCTTTCTAACCATCCTTCGACCTCCTAACTCATCTCAGGCTTCATTCCACGAGGCCCAGATCCCCGGGAAGCTTGGAGCCACCCCCGTGCCTGGATACCGCCCCCTCCACATACCCTCATCCAAGCTCCAGCACCACTGGAAGGTGCTACCTAACAGGCCACCTCCTTCTGAATCCATCAGTACTTTCCTTTTTTTTTTTTTATTTAACTTAATTTTTTTTTTTGAAGTATAGTCAGTTACCACCACTCAGGAAAAAAGCAGCACGCCCTACCTTGAACACATCAAGCTGTTGGTTAATCGTCTCCGTTTCCATCCCGACGGGGCCTTGAGACTCCTCATGCTCTTCCGCCTTCTGGAGCAGAGAGGAGAACTCGCCCAGCTTGCTGTAGAATTCCTCCAGACGCACGATGGTCCCTTCCACCTGCTCTCGTCTGGCTTGAGCGCGGTCCAGCAGTTTGTTGCACTGTTTGCTCAGCGCCTCCAGGTCCCGTTTGATTCCCACGAGGTCGGGAGAGGCCTCCTCCGTGGCCAGCAGCATCTTGCAGGCTTTGTTGGCGTTGGCGTTGCTCGCCATGAGCGCTTCCAGCTTCTGCAGGAAGGCCTGGATGGCCTCCTTCTGCCTCTGCAGTGTTTCCGCATCTCTCCCCACCGGGGCCATGCTGTCGAGGTCGTCGTCGAACTCGGCAAACTGAGAGAACATCTCCCGGATGGTGTTCTGGAAATGCCCGATGCCCTGCAGCTTGGTTTCTAAGAACGAGCACCTGTCACCCACCTGCTGGCTGAGCGCACTGTGCTCCTGGGCCAAGGTCTCCACCTGGAGTAACATGTCGGAGGTGCCCTTCGAGTCCGACGCCCCTGCCACGAGGTCCTGGGCGAGCCCTCTAGCCAGATCGACCTGCGGTTTCAAGGTCTGAAGCGCCTTCTGCTGGGTCTGCAATACGGTCAGGGACTTGCTGCTGTAAGCCTGAGGCCCCAGGGCGTCGTGGGCCGCGAGCTGCTCCTTTGCACCCTGAAGCTGCCTTCCAGCCTCTTTGGAAACTTCTTGAAACTCTTTAAACTTCTGGGCCAGGTTCTCCAGGGAGGACTTTTTACTGTGCAGTTGCTCAGTGACCACGTCCACCTTCTGGAGCAGTGACCGTTCCTCCTCTGCAATCAACTCCTGGTCCACGTCGCAGACGCGGAGCAGGCTGCCGGCCGCGCCGTGTAACTGCTCCACCATCCCAAAGTGCTGGTCCATCTCCTTCTGCAGAGACGCCACCTGGGCAAGAGCCTTCTCCATCTCTGCGGGATCCAAGCCAAACTGTATCTCCTCCAGGCAGCTCTGGCATCGGTCTATCCACGGCCGGAGCGTCTGCACATGCTCTTTGTACTTGATGGCTTTTTCCAATGACTCTTTAACCCTGTCTTCTCTCTCTTTCACCTGCTTATTAAATCCATCCCAATTGGTTTTCATCGTGTTAAGTTGTGACTGCAGGGCGACCTTCTCCGACCCTTGCGTTTTCAGCAACAGATTTTCACCCTCCGCCATGGCTTTCTCGTAAATATGGGACTGAGCGGTCAAAGTTCTCCGGAAGTCTTCCTGATCTTTGACTAACGACTCCAAGACCTCGAGTCGGGCGGAGATGGGGGGAGACTGGCTCTGCTCTTCCTTCTTGGTATCCAGCCACGCCTGGAAATCCTGAGACGTCTGCTGAAACTGATGGGAGCTGGCACAGGCCGACTGAAGGTGCTGGACGTGGTTCTCTAAAAATGAAATCACAGACAGGTTTGTTTCACATCACGTCGTCGAGCTAAGAAGCCCAGAGAAAAGCCACCAGATAAATGCACAGAACAGTCCAAAGGCAGAGGCTGTTCGCACTGACTATGAAGACTACAGGGGAGCCTAAGTTATTGACAAAGGGGGGAAAAGTCACAACGGGAAGGAAGGAAGGAGACCACCCATGCCAGGGCTGGGGCCACCTCCTCTCCGGGGCAGGGGAGCGACCACTGCTCGAAGCTCAAGGTGAGTGAACAGTCCACCCCTTAGCAAATGGGACTTTTCCACTTGTGAGATTTCTACCCATCACAGAGGCCAATGCAAGGCAGCGCGTGGGAAGGACATGGGTCTGGATCCCAGGGACCTAACCTCCCCGGAGCCGGAGGACCCAGGATGAATGATGAGACATCCAAGCCTCCTCTCCCCTAACGGGAGTTGTCAGCGTTGATCGAAGCTGTCATGGGAATGAAATGACAGCACGTGCCCATAGTTCCGAGCTCAGTGCCCTTCACGTAAGTGTTGATCATGATCATCGTCATCGTAAGGGCTCGTGTTTCTTACCCACATGTTGTCAACATGAAAGAGGTAGTCTGAAACGGCTGCTGTGATTCGTAAGCAAACCCAATCAATTAACACAAACAGCGCCTAGTGATACTTTTCAAATACCAAACACAGCAGCCAGTGGGCTCTCCCCTGGCTGGCCCGTCTTGAGCCCAGTAATTCACTGCTGCTCCCGCAGACAAGCTTGGACACAGCGGCCATGGAGTGACGGCCATGGATTGATGGCCACGGGGTGACGGCCATGGGGCAATGGCCACGAAGTGATGGCCACAGTAAGCGAGAGAAGAAAACGTGCTTGATGCTTCTCTGTCACACGTGTCTCTGGAAAAGCTTCTATGACAGAGCCAGACAAGCTAACCACTGGCAAGAAAACGATGCCCAGCCTTTTTAATAACCTTGCTCATTTCCGCTTCCCATGAAACAAGACTGTCATATAGCATAACCGTTTCCACCTTTAAACACCAACTTAGGAGATCTGGCATCTTAACAGGCCTCTATTACGTGGACTTTGCCGGCGTTCGGTCCCCCCGCATCCGTGTGGACGCCCCCCCGACGCCATGTGTGCCCGTCTCTGTGGGCAGGTCCCCTGCAGGGGCCCGGATCAGCCCGCAGCTCGGAAACCGGCAGCTCACTGATCCCTACTTCCAGGAAGCACGTGCATTAAGAGCAGACACACAAACCTGCTTTTTGCTCGATATCCTTAAATGACTTTAAGATGCCTTCCAGCTGCCGACTGAGTTCTGCTTTCAAGTACTCCTCTTTAACCAGGGCCGACAGGTCATCGCACAGGGCCTGGGCCACCTGGATCTGCTTCGTTTGCTGCTCTATCTCCTGCTTCAGCTCGCGGGCGGCTTCTAGCTGCTGGTTCATCGCGTCGGGGAGGGGGCCGCCAGCCATGCTGCTGCTCAGTCTGCGATCCAAGTCGCCCAGTCTGTCGGACAGGCTTCTCAGGAGGCCCTGGTACTGCGTGCTTTTAACAATGGCCTGGTCAATCCGGTCACATCTGTCACTCAGTTGTCCTGTGAGGCTGTCCCACTTTTGGGTCACGGCTGCCAGTTGCTCCTTCACGATCCCGTGGAAAGAAGGGTGCTCCCCGGGCCTGCACAGGATGCCCTGACCAGCCGCTGTCAGCTGCTCGTACTGAGGTTTCCTGGTATCAAATTCTTGCAGCAGAATCTAAGGGAAAGAGGTAACGAGGGTGAGTGCACACATGAATGATGGGATAATTAATTACAGAAAACACAGCTGTAAGCTTCCAAACAGACAGGAATGGTAGATATTTATCTAGATTTTGTTTGTTTGTTTGTTTTCCGTTACTGTTTTCCTAGAGTGTATTTCAAAGGCACCGCAATTATTCTAACCTAATCCAAAGAGCAGTGGTGCTTCTAGAGATGACATTCTGCCTAAAATAATATTTAAAAAAAGAGAATAAATATTTTTGCTGCTCTGGGAAACATGAACTCTTACTCATTTTGTTCATTTATGTACGACTTTTCACATACGAATGCTGCTTTGAGACAGGTTCACATCACATGAACACCAAATTTGATTTTTCCAACTTGTATTTTCCTTTTTGTAGGATTTTTTAAAATACTCTATAGCAATTGACACCAAAGGAAATACACAGTACTAACAGCGATTGTTAGGATATAGTAACTCACGTGCATTGATTTACAAAGGTTCTTCTTAAACATAAGATTGATGTTTACAGTCTTTATGGAAAAGATCTAGCTAATGGGAGTGGGGAGGGTGTAGCTCAAGTGGTAGAGCACATGTTTAGCATGCATGAGGTCCTGGGTTCCGTCCCCAGTACCCCCCTCTAGAAATAAATGAGTAAGACTACTTACCTCCCCCCCAAGTTTTTTTTTTAATTAAAAAAAAAGATTTAGCCAATAAATCACATTGCTCCAAGGGTGCGGGCTCACACTGGCTCTCCTTATGAAACAAACGATCTCCAAGTGCCCTTCTTTTAGTAGAATGTTTTCTCTCTCCCTGGGAGACTACGGACAGTTCTCTCTCCTCAAATGTTTGTTTGTATCTTTTGTTTCCATTCTATTCAGACTTAGAACATACAAGACCAGGACAGCACATGACTCTCAGTTACGAAGACTGATCTGTGTTTTCAGGGAGTACAGACCAGCCTCCTGCTCCAACAGCAACCACTCAGACGTCAAGAAAACTAACTAACCACGCGGGGCTTCTGCGATCACATCTGACTTACGGTTTCTGGATTTTTCTCCCCTTGCGAATTTATCAATTTATAATGAGACAAGTCTAACTAACCGTCCGGGTTTCAAGGTTCCTTTCCTGCCCCCCTAATTCTGTCTCCTCTTCTTAGTCTTCCCGACTCGGGGCTGCAATGCACGAGCTTTGTAAATTTCATTATCTACTACCACAATCAACGTGAATAAAACCTCAAAGGAATAATCTCTAAACAATAAGAAGCATATTAATAGTGTCTCATAAAAATGTCATTACTTACGCAATCACATTAATACTTCAAAGGTCCCCCTTTAACAGGGGCCGCACAAACCACCACATGACGCTAACGATCAGGGCACCCGACCACGGGTGGGCTCAGTGGGCCACTCAGGGACGCTCAGAGCGTTAGTCCTCACGACGAAACCTTATGGGCACGTGAAATATGACAAACACACTCCAAGGCAGGAAGAGAACATCTGGTCCAAGCAAATGCGGCTGTAATGGAAACAGCCATCCTGCGAAGTCAGGCAACACTCACCTGCACCTGCTGCCTTTGTGTGCTCAGCATATTGGGGTCGATGGACAAGGGCCCAAGGACACTGACCATCAGTTCTTTTTCGACGAGCCACTGTTTAAGCTGAGCCTCTACCGTCTGGAATTGGGTTAGATTATTTGAGGATTCTTGCAGTTTCTGTTGTCTGTCAACTGTTAACTGATTGAGCTCTTGCCACTTGGAATCTAAAAGCCAAAGATAAAGGATGAGACGGGTTTGGTTTTTCATGCACCCAACGCAACTACATCTATAAAGACCGTAGGAAAGACAAAAATGAAACATGGTGGTGTCATTCCCTCTTCATAATGCTTCTTTGATCATGGATTAAGACCTAACTGCATTTATGGATACAGATTTTTTTGGATCTGATGGATGTGTGTCAACTGAGGTGTAAGAAAAAAAAATCTGAATCTGATTTTGGAAGATAGTGCAGATTATGGAATATTCCTGAGAACCTCCTTCCTTCCAGAAGTCCGGCCGAGTCTGTTTACTCCACTGTAACAGACCTGCTAGAAACAACAGCAGATCTTCGATGACGCTCAACCATTCTTTTTGATGCAAACCACACCCTAGCAACCAGCTGCTCCAGTGTTACACCAGGAAATCTCACCAACCCTTTAAACTCAACACTAGGGGGGAAAAAAAGCTCATGATCTTCCTATCAAAGCGGGTGAGTTTTTCCATCTTAGATTTCTTTCTAAGGTTATTCTCAGGCACATTGTGGGACGCAATAATTCAGGACGCTCCTTCGTGCGTCTCCGAACCATCCTCTATCTCCATCACAAAACCTTAAACCCACCCGCCTTCCATCCCCAATACCAGAGTAATTCCGTGTTGGTCCTCACTGCGTTCTGCCCAGACCTGTGGTTCTCAAACTTCAGCTGCGTCAGAGTCACCTGGAGGGAAGACCGCTGACACGCTGGCCCACCCCTAGCGTGACCCACGCAGCAGGTCCGAGGTGAGGCCTGCTGGCTGCATTTCGAACACGTCCCCAGGTGATGCTCTGCTCTTGCTCCCAGGAACACACTTCGGAGAACTGCAGACCCAGACTGCCAGCCTCGCATCCAGTTGCCCTGTGATTAGTGTTCCTCAACTGCAATTTATTTGGTTCTACTATCATTTCCCTAAGAAATCGCTTAAAGATGTCACTTCTGCGCTCAGACCCTTCAGTAATCCATTCCTCTCCACCTGGATGGGGAAATCTGAATTCTTCTGCTTGACGTCCAAAGTCTCCCCATAACTGGCCCTCATCTGCTGGTCCGAGAGGGTCTGTCCAATGAAGGAAGCCTCTAGTCTAGCCCTGCCAATTTCCCCATCCTTGTCCAAACCTGTTCACACAGGCCCTAGCCCCACCAGCTCCAGCCCCCACCCGTCCACCCCCACCTTCTTCACGAGTCCACTGTCCACTGGTTCTCACCCTCTGACAAGACACCCTTCCCACCCTTCTCCCTGAAGCCAGAGTGACTGATCATTGTCTGAACACACTGGTCACTCAATTAGTCACTCAACAAACAAGTCGCTTGTGGTATGTGATTAGCTCCTTTGACAGAATTTTTTTCACCTAGCATAATATGTGGAAGAGCTGCTTTTAACAGAACCCAATCCCTGAAACCTTACCTAATGGCATCATTCTATATGGCATGTCTTAGTCAAACACAATCTGACAACAAAATAATGCAATTAAAGCCACAGAGCGAGAAGGAGAAATTTCCAAATCTCATCAGGAAGCTTTTTTGAAATATACATTCTTCACTCCCAGCCCTCTTCTAAAACACCTTGAGAGCGTGCTAAGTAATTCTCATATTCCCGGTGAAAGCCCCTGAATTAGAGACCAATTAATTATAATGCAACAGGAGACTCTATCGTTGGATTAAATATGCATCATAACATTAAGATCCCTTAGGAGGGTCCTTATCAAACTGAAACATACTTAGAGATGTCTAAATTTATCATAGCCTAGCTGACTCGAAAGGAAGGACAATATTTAGCTGAATACAATGGAACAATTGAAAGTCAAGTAATTCTTATTACAGTCACTGTAAACACACAGCACTTATGACGTGTCAGGTAACGTTTGAGCTGCACACATATTAACTCACTCAATTCTCCAAATGACACTGTGAAGTTGGGTGGGGGGATGAGCATCACTGTCTGACACTCATTTCCGTATCATTAAAATAATGAAAAGAGGTGACAAGATCATAGGGCTCATGAAGGAAATTCTGCATCTACAAGGAAGAATTTACACCAAGAAGGAATGGAGATGGGAGGAGAACTCTGGATACAGAGTCCAAACCCCAGACGTCCCACGCCAGCTGGAGAAGAGACGGACCACAAGAAGTTGGGGCTGGAGGGGG